GAGATCAATGTAGACCCAATCGTGGGGACACAGTACATCGGTTAACCAGAACATTGGTTTATTACCCACCTGGCTTACTTATAGCTGATTTTAAATGGATGGTTCTTTTTCTGGATAGGAAGACGGTGATGCTTTCAATGAAAACAACCTACTATCAGGTTTTGTTTTATATTATAATTAAGGTGTCATATGGGCATTGTGCCTGCTGATTTATTTAATTAAACATTTACTTTTAAACGAATGTTCTCAAGGTATTCTCAACATTATTTATTATTTTGTGTACAGAATGTTCTTGTGGGTTTTATTTTAATAACTTATGTGATACCAATATATTTCATAATTTAATTAATTAAGAACTATTTCAAAATTTTGTTATTTAAGCATTTACTGTCTCGGCTTGGGTATTGACCATAAATACCTCAAGACATAAGGGCTACGTGCACCATTTCAATTTTTACATTTCTTCTTTATAATAAAACAAGAGTTAGCCATAAGTTAAGCAGACTCTTAAGAACCATAAAGGGGAGAGATTATATAACCTCTTCCAATTTGGGAGTTTTAGTAAATAACCTCTGTGTCTAAAGTCCTTATATGTGTTTATTAAATTTTCATTTTATTTTATGATTTATATTTAATTATAAAATTTCATGGTTTAATATTTTTCTAATCAATAATTTGGTGTTAACTATGAGTTAAGCAGGTAACTTCTTCCAATTTGGAAAGAGTTAAATGTTTATTGTGTTTTAACATTAAACGTTGATGTTTAGATATAGGTGCACATGATTTTTTTTATATATATTTTTTTTTGATTTCATTGTTTTTGTAAAAGGTAGAAATTAGGATCTCAATATTTTTGCATACCATCTTACGCAAGCGTCCTTCGCCTGGTACCAAGCTAACGACCGACCGTGCCACCTGTTGGTGAATTTATTTTCTTTTTGGGCTCATGCGTATGACTTTTACATTATTTTAATTTCTTACCGTGTTTAGTCGTTAGTTTATTTGATTATAAATTCCCCAAAAGCCATTAAGTAAATAATGTGTAAGATTGTTGTACAACTTAATTGGGAAAATTGGCAAATTTTTAATAAAGAAACATAAGTTGAGGTTTGTTTTTTATTTCTTTCCTTATTTACTGGGTTTGTAAGGAAATATGATCATAGTTTGGCCACTATATAGACCCAGTTGGCGCCTATCATTTGTCTACTATTTCGGAATTTTTATTAGCTATCCACCCTATAGCTGCCGTCTGAGCGACGTCGATGGCCCGAAGGTTAACACCGGAACAACCGAAACTTGTATAAGTAGACATGATTTTATTAATAAATTTATTTTTTTTTATTTTTAAAGCTTAATTTTAAGTAATTCCCCTCTGGAAGTTGCTTAGAACTTTTGGTAGGTTACATAGTGCGAAATTGTAAATGAACAAGTTTAAGCCTTTCTTTTTGAAACTTTCTTAAATTTCCTCGAAACAGATATTCTAAATTTCATAGAAAATTTACCGTTAGACGTATAACAGAATTTACACAAATTCAATTAGATGATACTCCTGCCCATAAGTCAAATGCTGTTCGCGAATGGTTTAATAATAACATTCCTATGAAATGGATAGGTCCGAGAAGTTCCTTGCATCTTTGGCATCACAGTTCTACCGACATTATGCCGTTTTTTTAACTTTGGGAGCGCAAAAAAATTAGTATACAAACACAGATCTCAAACCATAGAAGAATTAAGAATTAAGAAAAGTTATTTTTCACAACCAAAAAAGAATCGAGATATGTATAAGAAGAATGGAGGATATGTTGAAAAAACATTAATTGATTAGGTTATTATTAGTTACATTTTCTATTTTTTATTGACACGTAATAAAATAAAATGTAAAATTATTTTTTTTTTCTTTTACTCAAATCCGTGAAAAAATGTAAAACCTAAGGATTGTTGTACCTTTATGATGTAAAGTAAACCATTGTGAGTAAAAAAGCCTAATGAAGTTTTGTCCTAAAGAGAAGAATTTTTGTACTACAGTTAAATCTGAATATTTGGAAGCTCATAAAGCACACCCTGTATGATATTTTTCTAAGATTTGGTTTATAAGGTAACTTGAAAATGTTAAATCTACCATTTTTGCCAAACTGATCCACTATTTTTCCCCCTAGCGACGAACACCACTGGGTAGAAAAAAATTATAACTGCAAAACATTCACCTTAAAACAAATATTATTGACCCAAATTTCATATTAATCGCTTTAATATTAATAATAATAATTATACGGGAGCCATGAAAATTGGGATGCACTGTATTATGTCAATTTGTAAAAAAACAATTATTTAAACCAAATTTTGTTACCCCGTAAAACCTTTCCATTTTTATTGTTTGATTTTTTTGAAAGCATACTTTTATATACATTTATATATACAAGTTTTATAATTATTTATAATAATACGTTAATTATTTTAATTATTATTATTATTATTACTATTAAAATTTTCATTGATTTTTATTAGAATTCAAATGCAAAGCATGTTATTTCTTATAATGAAATGAAAACCATGAAAGAAAAAAGTAGTGGACTATTAGCGTTATTAATGTTTTCTTATGAAAATCGAGCAATCAACAAATGAGCTCTAATTTCAAAACATTAGATTAAATATTGATCTAAGGTGAATAAATTACTAAAATGTACTAATATTCCACTGACAGTATAATCTACATATTATGGTGCAGAGATAGTTTATAATTTCAAAAATGTCGTTGACAAAGAAGTCTGAAGTGATCAGAATTCGTTATTCATTGCATACAAAATTGAAAATTTATTAATAACTATTTAAAAATTTTTAATTGATTTGAATATGGCGGATTCTTATCAACAAGATCTCATCTTTTTGAAATAATTGTGCGATACGTTAATGACAAAACATTGTCCTAGCTTACAACAAAAAAATGACATTAGTATGTCACTTAGGACTTCGTTTAAATTAAAATAAGGTTAAAACTATCATCGAATAACAAAATTATAATCTATAAAACCAATATTATCATATGGAGAAGAATGAGGATGCTCAAAGTATGATCAATATTCATTGGTATATATCCAATCAAATACTCATACAAAAGCGAAACAGCAAATACTATCTACTCATGGTTCAACTCGTAGTTCAACCACTCTTTGAAAACAACAGAATATCAGCCAATTGACATAAGACGAGATGAAGTAGGTTCTTAAGTTCATAAGAACAACCAAAAATGTACCATTAAAAGACTTCATGAAATTTTAAGATTACTTTAGTAACATAACCTCAAAAACATTATATCGAGTTCTTTTTTTTTTTTCTGGCAATGTTTGGTCCCAACCGAAGAACGAGAGAACCAATGAAATGTTTTTTTAGGTTATGTTATTAAAGTGACCTGGACAGTAACTTGTTGAATAGAGAGAGAAAGACATTACATCAGAAACGTATTCTGTCGAACGAAGATAGGCGTTTCGACATATGCCGTATAGAAAGATGAGAATCCCACTGCTGGTTGCCACTACATCTGATTGTTCATAGCCATTAAAAACCATTGCAAAAGATCACTCTCTTTTGAAGGTGATCTTATAAAATTAAATGTATTAATGGTAGAAAACGTGGCAAACAGAAGAAGATATAGAATGATTTGAAACCGAGTAATCATACAAAAGTTTATTAGCTCCAACACGAAGATACCTGGGATATGTCCCAGGAAAAAAAAGAAAAAGAAGTAGAGTTCTGTGAAAATTTTCCCCCCGACAGAATGAAACCAATAAGAAATTGTCGTTGCGATCAAAAAAAATCATTCGTGGTACACGGATGGTTCCAAAACCACAGATGTACTCTGAAAGTTTGGGTACATACCTAAACATCATCCAGGAAATTCATCCCATTGATTCAATTCAACATCGATAAGATAATTTCATTAAAGTGCTGAACTCTTACATAATCAGCTCAAAAATGGTCTGCAGGGGCTTAGAAAAATTGAATAAGATTGACAAGGAAAATACAGTTAACCTAACTTGTGGCCTGGGACCCAATGGGGCAAAAAAATCACGTGTTAATAGCAAAGAAATGAGATAAAACACCTTTTGTTGGATAAGCAATCCCCAATGAAAGAAAAGATCAAAAATAATTGGTCAGTAAAAGACGATAATTCTGATTAAAACCAAAAAAGAATAGACAGCCTAACCTTACCGACTAAAACCATGCCACTAGTAAGAGAGGGTACAGATTTGTTGAACAGAAAAACAAAACCTTCATGCACGTTTTGACAGAATGTGTGGCCCTGCATAATTCAAGGGCACTTTATACTTGAGACCATAACAAAGGGTGATTTGCCCAGCTTGGAGTCGCTCTGCAATCCTAAAGTTCTTAGGGAAGATAAAATTTGAAGAAGCGCTATAGACGAGATTACTTACTTAGATGGTACAATAGGTCTCTAAGATCGCATCTTAACGATTAACAACTACTAGGAAAACCAATTTTTTTTAAACAATTGTAGCATTTTGCCAAATTATTACAGAGGAGTCTTACAAGGATTGTATGTGGTTATAATTAGAAATTTGCTTGACAAAAAAAGATATAAAAAGTAAAAATGACTTTAAAAACTACATCAAGAAAGAATATTTACATTTTTAATGCCAGAAATTATCAGTTTAATGTATTTTTTAGGTTGTAACTATTATTGTAGCTAAAGGTGATTCCCAGGATAGTATGCCATTTATTTTGCAGTATGGCAACAGGTAAAGCGGCTCTATTTGTTTCGTTCAACGCCGCTGTTCCTCTCGATGTTTACAAACATAAAACACGTACTGAATACTTGCTAAGTCTTGCTTACTTGTGAATTAAAGGGTTGGTTTAGTAGTTGCTCGTCTTCGTGATACCCCATAACAACGTGACGTAATATTACTCTCTTTATAAGGGATATTTAAAAAGATGATAAACTATTTCTGCACCAATACCCACAACCGAGCACCTTGCCCACTTACCTGTGCAAAGGCGAATCCGGAAACAAGTCTAAACTCTCAGACACTGAGGAACTGGGGCTGGGCGTCGTATCTGGTAAACATCCGTTTCTTATCATTTCGACTTTTTTCTTTGCTCTCCCTCTTTTCTTCTCGAATTTACTAGTTTCCATGGACGCCGCTCTTCGTCGTACCGATTTTCCCGGCTTCGCGTCCGGATTGATCATCCACCAGGAAGACTTCCCCGTTCCTTCGTTCTGCACCCTCATGAATCTGTTGTGCAGTGACAGGTTGTGTCTGATTGAATTCTGTAAAAAATAAAGGAGAAATTAGAATGATAAAATCTCCAATACTTGTAACCAAATAGTAACTAAGAGGATAATTTAAATTATTCAGACAAAGATTGAAAGACCGCGTGTAAAAAATTGAAATTTTTAAATTAAAAATTAGTCTAAGCGCTTTTGCTTAACAAAGCCATCATCATAGCCATCCTAAAAGGTTTTATAAGTTAACAATCAAGTGATAGATAATAAAATTTTAAACATATATCTAAAATAATAATTTGGATATTCGGATAGTATAGCTAGATTATCTTGATTAAGATTGATCTATTGGATATCATCAGCAAGGCGTCCTAGTGTTGGACACATTACATATTATAAGATATTGACAAGTGACGTAAGACAGAGTGGCAGGAACGATCATGAATGGACCAAAGTCATTACGAAAAAGTAATGTAATTAAGGATAAGGGCTAAGCTTAGGTTGTATGGTTATGACGAAGAACCCAACCCCAATCAACCAGATAGAATATTCTTAAATCTTTTAGAAATATTAGATTTGCCATCAAATTCTAGGAAAGCAAAGTATGGAACCATGTCTGAAAATATAACTGAACAATATTATGCAGTCTTTTATACCGAATGATGGTATATTGGCCATATATTAAAATTACAGTACAATGACTGTTATAAAATCAAATTTTTAAATAGATTTTTGTAACTTAAAGTAAACAACATAGATATCGTGGAAAAAATAAAAAACAGTCAATTAAATTTCAAAATATAAAACTTGTTATTGGTTTTGTTTCTTTTCTTAATGTTGTGAGACGCTTTCCTTGAATACTGCTTTGCTATTAACATATGTTCAAGTCTGTTATATATTCATTTCATAGATTCTATATAGAATGAAAAGTCATATTATTTACAAAAAATAAACCTTATGCTTCTGACAAAATTATTACACTTTAATATTGAACGATTTAAATTTAACTAATAAATAAGAAGGATTATATATATTAAAGAGGAAAAAGGAAAAACCAGAAGTGTCAGACAGAATGGAAGAGGATAAATGAAAAATGAGAGAAAGCAGGATGAAAATTAACGAGAAATGATAGAGAAGTTAGATGATAATACACAGAATGCAAAAAAGTTAAATAAGACTGAAGAGAAGACAAAGAAAATAACGGAAGAATTAGAAAATTACAATAAAATTGAAGAAAATGAAGTAAAAGAAAATTTAAATAATAAAAAGGAAAAATGGGAAAGAAAATTAATGAAAGAGAAAACAAATTCAAGAGAAAATTAGAAAATGGGATAAAGAAACCATATAGCATCAAGAAGAAAAAAGAAAATTATATTATAAAAATAAAAGTAGGAAGAAATTAAAACAGATACAGATACAGAAGGAATATAAAAGAAAATTCAAATAGCAAATAATAATAATAAAATGGAACAAAAGGAAAACAGGTGAGAAACGAAAATAGAGGGAATGTAGTGTAGGTAAAGAAGAGTGTGTGAATATAATGAAAAATCGAAGGTTGACTGAAAAGAGAGAATAAAAGTGAAAGAAAAGATATAAAACGTTAAATGGAAAAAAAGTTTTAGAAGTTGAAAATATGGCGTGAATATGGAAATTTCGAATATAATAGTTAAATGAATGTTAGAGAAATGAATTTATAAAATTATAGGATTTAATTGTTTAGAGACATTTAAGTTGAAAGGTAAATCTCAAGCAGGACGGATTGGTGCAGTGCAGTAATGGAAATATTCTCTTCCAGAATGAAAATTTTATCACGAAATAGTCCGTGGACACAACATTAACAGCCGTATGCGTAGTCGATTGCCAGCGACTCGCCAGAGATTCATTTCGGCGTATCGCCAGCGATTCGCTGGCGATCCGCTGGCAAAAGCCCAAAAAGATGACTACTCGCTGGAGATTTTCACCGGCATGTCATTTCACGCAAGTTTTCATGTTCTTTTATAGGGAAAAATTTGATATTCGTTCATTGTTTTTTGAGTTTTAAGAAATGAATCATGAATAAAATGCGAGAGATGCCGGTGATAATCCCTATAAAAGAACATGAAAACTTGCGAGAGATGACATGTCGGTGACAATCTCCAGCGAGTCGCCTCCTTTTCGGGCTTTCGCCAGCGGATAGCCAGCGAATCGCTGGCGATACGCCGAAATGAATCTCTGCATACGGCTGTAAGATTCTCTGATTAAAAATAAGACTAATGTAACATGCTTAGGTAAAATATTACTCGTTCCCGAAATACATGGCTAATTGGCTAAATATATATTTATACTAAATTCGACAAACGTTTTTTGTGTCATAAGATATAGTTATCAATAGAAAACTTTGCCATTGGCTCACGGAATGGGTAAGTGACACCTTTATTCCTTCCAAAGGTTACCTACGTCATTGTCCAAAAACTTATTTGGAGTATAAACTTAATTTGTTTTTTTTTTAACAAATCGTAACTTATAAAATGATTTTGGTACTATCAAAGGCATTGAGCATATGTGGGTTTCTCTTAAATTAGGTAAAAACTTGATTATAAAAAGGGTTATTTACAGAACAAACGCAAGTTTTGTTGAATTTTTTGATAATATGTTATCATTTATTTTACCTCAATTTGACCATACGAGGATGTATCAGAAAATAACGAGACTGGTGCTATAGTATAACAACGAAACATTTATTTAAAAAAATTCAACAACTATCCTTCGAAGTACTCTCCATTCTGTTGAATACACTTATCCCATCGCTTTATCCACTTATCATAAACTTCTGAGAAACCATTTTTTGATAGCCTGTTTAGTATACCCATCACAGCGTTGTTGAGCTCTAAATCCGACTCAAATCTTCTACCTCTCAATTCTTTTTTGACTTCAGGAAACAAATTGAAGTCACATGGAGCAAGGTCAGGAGAGTAGGGGGGATGAACCATCATTTCAACCCCTAATTCTTCAATTGTTCGTTGACAAATCATTGATCTATGAGCCGGAGCATTGTCGTGATGCAGCGTCCAGCCAAAGTCCTGATAAAGCGGCCTTTTTTTCTTTAATTTTGCCTTTAAGGGTCCTCGAAGTACATTAGAATAGTACTCCCCTGTTACTGTATGTCCTCTAGGTACAATGTGATCGTAAATAACGCCAAATTTATCAAAAAAAATCAGGTGCATCACTTTACCAGCGCTTTTAGCAGTTTTGGCCTTCTGCGGTCTTGGGCTGCCTTTATGCTTCCATTGCATACTTTGAGACTTCAATTCAGGATCGTAATGATAAAACCAACTTTCGTCACATGTAACCACATTATTTAAAAACTGTGGGTTACGTTGCAATTGCCTTTTCCACTGCTGACAAATTGTCACTCGATTCGCTTTTTGTTCATCGGTCATCACTTTTGGAATCCATCTTGCCGCGATCTTCCGGTACTCTAAATCTTCATGAATAATTTTTTGAGATGTACCGTAAGACAAATTAACATTGTCAGAAATTCGTTTTATGCCAATCCGGCGATCATTTTGTATCAAGTCGTTAATTTCTGCAATTTTTGTGTTATTTCTCGCAGTTTGTGGTCGACCGGGACGAGGTTCATCTTCAACTGATTCACAACCGTCTTTAAACTTTTTATGCCACTCAAACACTCTACATCGTGATAAACTATTATCTAGATATGCACCTTTAATCATTTCAAAAGTTTCAGTTGGTGTTTTACCCAATCGAACACAAAATTTTATCGCGTATCTTTGCTCCACTTTCATTTTTCGATGGGTACGCAAATCACTGACAATTCAATAATTAATTTGTAACAAATGTCAAAAGTTAAATCAAAGCCTACTTGCGGGGTAGTACATTAAATAAAAGGCTTTCATGTCTCATTTTTTGGGTTATAAAATGTTACCTCTGAAAGAAGTTATAGCACCAGTCTCGTTATATACTGATATATCCTCGTATATTAATTACAGGGGATATAAATGTTGACCAATTTTCAAATAATGTGATATATCAATCTGTAGAATCATATGGGGTTTGCCAGTTAATAAAAGAACCAACCAGAATTACTCCTACATCACAAACCTTACTCGACGGTATCTTTACAAATAGAGATGACCTTGTCGTAGGTTCTGGTACGATAGATCACGATATTTCTGATCACAGAGGAGTGTATTGCAGTCTAAATCTATCAATTGTAATTCAGAGTCCTATAGTAATAAAATATAGATCTTACAAATATTTTTCACATGCTAGTTTTAATAGAGATCTATTAAGTATGCATTTTGAAAATATATTATATGAAAATGATATTGAAAACAAGATAAAATTATTTAATACCTACCTTCTCTTTTTAATTGATAAACATGCGCCGTACGTTTATAGAGTTACAAAATCTTTTGCATCTTGACTCCTACAATACATGACATGATAAAAATAAGAGATAAGGCACTTTCTAAATATAAAAAGTCTAAAAACATCTCTGACTAATTTACTATAAAGATATTCGAAATACTGTTACTTCGGCTATTAGAAAAGAAAAATCTGCGTATCTCGCCCACCATTTTAAAACCAGTAGCTCTAAACAATTTTGGACAACAATAAATTCTTTACTACTGTTAAAGAAATAAGGCTTTACCTTTTCCAAATCAAAAACACATTTTGTACATTTTTGTAGATTAAAAACACAACATAGAGAACCGATATTAATGCTAGAAGGCCAAAATATGGAAAATAAACGTTCAACCAAAGTTCTAGGAGTGACAATGGATAAGGGACTGTATTGGAAAGAACAAATTCAAAACGTAGCCCTTACATGTAAAAAATATCTTAACCTAATGAAATCGGTATTAACTGGGGATGTAACTATAAGTATCTCCTTATGCTTTATAAATCCTTCATCCTACCTAGAATGGATTACGGCAGTCTTATCTACTCTTCCGCTCGGAAATCAACGCTGAAACCCCTAGAAACAATTCAAAGAACAGCATTAGTGATTGCCCTAGGAGCTTACAGAACTAGTTGTGAAA